AAAAAAAAAGAGCCTGCTGTTAGTATCAGTGGCTGTTGACTTTAGAGCACTGGAACAATACAGAGCGGAGATTTCAATCCTGACAAGAAAGACTGAGGCAGACTCACCAGTGGCAGCCACCTTCGGAAACAGCTGTGTCCTGCACACAGGTGTCAGCTGGACAAAGGGGACTTTCTACTGTCAAATGTTGGTACTGTAACAAGAAGTTAAATTTCCCTACCAAATATCTGGGAAACTTCTTATATTACTTTCAGCTTCCATTTTCTTGATTGTAAACACTACCATAGGGTTGAATGATCTGCTATACAGACTGTGTTTGTATGTGCTTGTGTTAAATCTGAGGACAAACACACAGATGCAAAAATAACAAAACAAGGGCCCGGCGCGATGGCACAGTGGTTAAAGTCCTCATCTTGAACGCCCGGGATCCCATATGGGTGCTGGTTCTAATCCCGGCAGCCCCGCTTCCCATCCAGCTCCCTGCCTGTGGCCCGGGAAAGCAGCCAAGGACAGCCCAAAGCCTTGGGACCCTGCACCCGCATGGGAGACCAGGAAGAGGCTCCTGGCTTCAGAACGGCATAGCATCGGCCATTGCACTCACTTGGGGAGTGAATCATCGGACGGAAGATCTTCCTCTCTGTCTCTCCTCCTCTCTGTATATCCGCTTTTCCAATAAAAATAAAATAAATCTTAAAAAAAAAAAAAAACCTTTTACAATGGGGGGCACAGGGATGGAGGTTGAACAAGAAAAACTCCTTAATGTCAAGATCATAGAAAACACATAAAATCCATGTAATTCCAGAATATTCTTTTTCTCAACTACTAAACGGTAATATTTCAAGTATATCTAAATTGTCCAAAGGAGCAAACAAGATGGATTTCTAAATCACACACAAGCATCAACTCTTAGCACTATGACTGCTGAGTTAGTTAAGAACTACCCAAGTTTGGTTCACAACAAATTGTATTGAAGTGGATCTTCACTGAGTGTGACAGTTCTGTTAGGTGCCTCTTGGTCATACTCTGTCAAAATGAATCCACGCTTACACCAAGGTCAATGCCAACAGAACCAACAGTCTAGTCTGTGACCGAGGTTCCGAGATGGGTTCCAGGCTCAGCTCTGCTGCTTGCTCTAGTTTGCGATAACAAGAACCATGTGTAGGGATACTTTATTATTATTTTAAGATAGATGTGGATATAGTGAACCCAGTTGTCCCAAAGCTCTGTTAAAGCCAGCTGGTTCTTGGTCCTTGTTTCCCAAGAAAATTCAGGGAAGGAGTCAGGCACTTTGATCTTCTGCCCTCATTCTCTCTCGCTCCCCTGCCCTCAGGTATCTCAACTCTCACCCCGTGTCTGCTCTCTTTCTTCCAGAACCTACCCAGTCTCAGCAGTGTTTTCACTGTCTCTGAATCTTCCTCTCCTTCAAACAAGACAATCTTCACCGTGTGCTCCTGCCTTCTCTAACTGCCTGTGACCCGGGCTGCTGCACACTCACCAGTCACACAGGAGAACCCTGCTTCGCTAACTCTGCTCAAGGTATGGGCACCTCCTAAGGGCCCTCCATGCTCTCCTTTCTGTTTGAATGAAAACAAGACTCTTCACCTGTTAGGCACAACCTACTTCTCTGTGTGTTGGAGAATGACATAACCTGCCAAAACAACTCAAAACACTGCTATCTAAACTGAGCATCAATGGCTGCTTTTTTTTTTTTTTTGGCATCTATCCTAAAAATCTTAAGTTGTCTTTCAAAAAGTGTCTGCTCTTCAATTAATCTTCTGATCACCTCAGGCCCAATCATTATTACTTAAAATTTAAGGGTACTTCTATAAGCTCATGGAAATAGACTTGAGATATTTAACTTTTAGGCCTGTGCTGTGACTTAGCATGCAATGCAGGCATCCCATATGAACATCAGTTCCTGTCTCAGCTCCTTGCTGAGGGGAAAACAGCACCAAGTGGTCCAAGTGTTTGGGTCCCTGTACCCATGTGAGAGACCTGCAAGAAGCTCCTGGCTGCAGCCTGGCCCAGTCCTGGCAGCTGCATCAGTCTGGAAAGTAAGCCAGCAGATGGAAGGTGTCACCCCTACTCTCGTGTACTGTAAACCTGACTTTCAGATATATAAGTAAATCTTATTCTACAAAACTTACTTAACTTTGGTGCAAAAACAGGACTCAATTCATAAGTACCAGGTATCCTCAAAAAGCTCATGGAGAAAACTACGCATGGATTTCAGAACTTTTTGCATCGAAACAAACTTATCTTTGAAATCCAATTCCCATGAACTTCTCGAGGTGCTCTCCTCACACACATCCTCCCTCTTATGCAGATTTCCCATAACCCACTTCAGTTCCTATCAGCAGCATCTGCAATACCCTCCCAGCAGGTTTCCTTTGAGGCAGGTCACTCCCCCTCACAAAATAGACTGACGCCAGAGCGCTAGACCAACGTCTCTGCAAACTCCCCGTGGCTTCCCAGAGTCCCCGAGACAAAGCCTAATCTCCTTAGCAGACTCCAGTACCTCCCAGACATGCACAGGTTATGCTCCCAGATTACCAAACTAGTTTCAGATTCTGGCCTAAGATGCTGACTCAAGAAACAGCTACACACACCCTTTGCCTAAAACGCCCCTTTTGCAGCCCTTGTCTACCCAGGGAGTCCTGAGATAGCTTTTAATCCCAGCTCAACCCTCACCACCCCTTTGAAGCTTTTCCTGTTAGCACCATGTACAGTCCAACTTTGCCTTCAAACACAATGAGTCTTGAACAGAACTCCAACACTTGGAACTCTTTTGCATCTTCCGGGGAACCCTGAGAGGGTGGCTTTTGCCATTTTTCCAGTACCATTCCAGCATTTGCAAAGCAGCAACATCCCCCTGCTGCCTGCAGGTCGGAATTACTTTTTTTTTTTATTTATTATTATTCATTTTACCTTGCTGATTTCTCTGCAACACAGTCTTCTCTCAGCCTAAGGCTCCCAGTCTTGCACCATGGGAATTTCAACAGCACCCATTATAAAAAGATTACAAAGTGGCAACGCATGGGAATGGACTCCAGTAGATCACCATACACCTCCTCCCTTCCTTCCCAGGAGTTTTGCCTTTACTGCAACTTGAACAGAGAAGGCCCCTGACAGGGTTAACCAGCCTCCAAGGTGTAAACTGATTTTAAAACAGCCCTTGACCTGGAAATACAGGTATATTCAAAGACACACCCTGATAAGGAAAAACAGGCAGAGGATAGAGGTCAATGTCTCCAACTCTGCCAGGAGCTCCTTGTGATAAACTCTAGGACAAATAGCTTAGCACAGCTTAATGCAGGTTCCATCCCTAGGACATCCTGACAAAGCAGGTTGCATATGCCAATGCTGATGGTCAAAAAAATCCAGCTGGAAGTGTATGAATGAAAACCAGCAGGACAGTGCTCCTAGACAAACACATGTCAAGCACAGGGCTAAGTCAGAAACAAAAATAACAGCTTCAATGAGTCCAAATCACACCACAGAGCAGCTTTCATTTTAAGCACATTATGCTGTTAAAAGACAAAAGCAATTCAAAGGGTTGTTCCTTGAGCATGTGTTGTCTTAATAAAAACTCGTTAACGCCATCCCTGAAGGAGGTCAACATGGGGAAGCTGGCATTCCCTGGGTTCCACCAGCCCTAAGACAAAATAAATCCCAACCGAATTTGTTCTATTTTAGGTCTAGTTGCCAAGGCAGTTTTTCACTGCCTATTCTCAGCCCCCTACTTCCAGCTCCCTAACTTCAACCAGCAGTAGATCGAAATCGTTACATTTTGTGTTAACTCCTCGAAACACAGTGTCTCCCCTGCTCATTTTATTCCAACAGCTATCCAGAGTAGAAACCAAGTGTCATCCACTGATTCCAAGTTTCCCTCCTAAAATCAGACTTGTTTCTGTGTGCACACAGCTGAGGCTTTTGGGCCTTTCCACCTTGGGTTACATCAAGTTCATGACCGTCACCTTTCCAGGTGGGCTCCTCCCAGAACCAGAACTGCAAGCTTCAGCGATAGCACACATCAGAAGAAGTCAGGAAGCCTTCGTTCCAGTTTTCAAAGGTGCCGAACTTGACTTTAGACAATCCACTGGGTATGTCTGTAATTTAAACCGCAATGCAGCTGCTTGGTTCCATAAAGAAGAATGCTTCTAGGAACAATTTGTGTCTTCAAGTTCGCAGTTAAAAATGGATTCTGATAAGCAGACAGTTTCATAAAACAATCCCTTCTTTGGCCCCATTTTCTAACCCACTCTGAGAGGTCATAAAACTGGTATGTCTTCAAAAGTTCTTGAACTGACGCCATGCCTTATCTAAACACACCCTCAATGGCCTTCTTCTAGCTTTAAATGTAATCATCGTATTACATCTCTGTATCCTTAAAGGTGTAGCCAAGTTCACGTCTGGAAAGGTGCGTGCAAACACCTTACCCATGAACCCGTCGGGTACAGTGGAATCTAGCGGAAGACATGGTTCATGACCAGCGTGCGTGGACCCAAACCAAGCTGGAAGGTCACGGCAGTGTCACGTGTGTGACAGCCTCAAGTCTGCAAACCCCATCATACTGGAAAAGGAGAGGGGAAACGAAAGTGCTGATGAGGTGGCCGTGCGGAGCCAAACCTCCAGTGGCAGGATCCAATGACAGTTGGCGCGCAAAGAGCCCTTAAGTTGAGAGCTAACTTTCCTCTATCTACGGGAAAGCTCTGTGCCGCGCCCCAGTAGGAAACCAGCCCAAGGCAAGCAAAGCAAATCAGCCAGCTCTCTGAGGCGCAGTGCTCGCGATCGCCCCAGGGAAGGCACAGTAAGCCGGGGTCCGACGGGCCGACCCCACTCTGGGGAGGAGGAACTCAGGGCCAGGCCCGAGGGCAGCGCAGCGGACAACCCTCACCTCCCAACCGACATTTCTGAGGGTCCCATCAGATGTCCGGGAGCCAAGCAGGACCCGCGCGGGGAGCGGGGGCGGAGTGCGCGCCTCCCGCAGCTCCACTTACTTTGTCGCTGGTGCTCTCGGTTTCGTGGTCGCCGCCGGCCGCCTCTCCCTCGCGGGGTGGCGGTGCCACCGCCCCGCCGGGACCGGGGCAGCCTCCGCGGTGCCTCAGCTCCAACATCTCCCGCTCCCGCGCAGCCGCGGCGGCCTCTTCCAAACGCCCCGAAAGCCGAGCTGCGCGCGGGGATTCGAGGGGAGGAGGGGAAGAACCCCGCAAGCCAGCCAGCCGCCCCGCACCCTCGCCCTCGACGCCCCAGCGGCTCCGCGGCCGCTAACACCTCCCTGGCATGGAGCAGCGCCCCCGCCCCCTCCACTGCGAGGTCGGGTCACCCCCAAAACGGCATTAACGAGCTAGGAGTGCTCGAGGCCGCCTCGCCTCTGGCGGAGCGCGGCGCCCCACGGAGGGGCCGGGTCAGGGTGCGGGGCCGACTCGGGGCGCCCGGCCCGAGCCGAGCAGGCGGGGACGCGGCGGAGCGCGGCCGCCGGTTGCCAGGTGCGCGCCTGCACGCACAGCGCCCGGGCGGCGGGAGGAGCAGGAGGAGGAGGAGGAGGAGGCGCAGGGCGGGGAGGCAGGGAGCCTGACCCGCTCCGGCGCCCGGCCACACCCCGCCCCGCCTCCCGGAGCCCGACTCGGCAGCTCCCGGCCCCCTCCACCTGGCTCCCCGGTGCCCCGCAGCCCGGTCACGCGCCGCACGCCCGCCCCGCCCCTCTGCGCTGCACTGCGGCGCCCGCAGCCCCGCCTCCGCCTGACGTCACGGCCCGCCCCGCGGCAGGTGGGTGCTGCGGTGGGAAGGTGGGCCTGGGTGCCGAGGCGAGGGGCGGAGCGTGCAGGTGCGGGAGCGCCGGGGGGAGCGGGAGCGCCGGGAGGAGCGCGGACGCCCGGGACGCCCTGGGTGCCTGGGAGGTGGCTAGGCTGGCCTCCTGTTTGCCGGCGGCGGCTGGGACGCGCGGCCGCGTCGGGAAGCCGAAACTCGTCCGGCAGGCCCGACCCGTCGGCTCCGCGGCATTCCAGGCCGGTGTCATCACCTTGAGAACCGGAGATGGGCGTCCAGGGACGGACTGCCCTGCAGGCTCCGTCACAGACCCGGGGTGTGCCGAGGTCCCTCCCCGGGGGCCAGGGAGAACCCGCCATACGGCGGGATGCACCGCCGAGGGCTGGTCTGAGCGGTCATGGGTGCACCTTGGGCTGCTAAAGCTGGAACAGGAAGGGCACAAGATCCGCATTAACTTCAGCTCCAATCCTGTTAGAGGGCGATTAGTTTTTTTGATGTGTCTGCAACCTGGTCACTACCGACAAGCTGACAGGTGAGAGGAGGGCAGCTTCGTACAGACAGGAGAGCACCCTTATGCAAATAAATCCAAGTTTCTCAAGTTTCTCAAATGTGTTGCTCTGAAAATTTGATACCCAGCGCACAAATCCGGAAGTTAAGACACTGTGAGAAGCAGGCTGTAAGGGCATCATTTTACCTCATCAATCAAACACAGCTGGAAAGCTGGGGCTTTAATCTGGGTTGTCATATTTCCAGAAGGATGCAGAGAGTAACGAAGATGGTGGGGAGATGAAAGTCTTTACAGTGACGGAAGTGGACATGAAGACAACAGGTGAGTGAGTTGCTCAGTTGTCTCCATTGCTTTGGGGGACTAGGAGAGAAAGAGAAAGCTACCCCATGGCCAGGAAGAAAATGGAAATATAACCTTAAAAGGCCACTGAAGGCTGTAGTTGGGGTATCCACCCCACCAGCAAAAAGCATTAGAAGCAAAGCATCCCTTTTCCCTCCCTAAGCTTTCCCATTCCTGTATTTCTGCCTCAATGGCAGTTTCAGTCTTACTCATGGTTAATTGCTACCTGTTGAGTGGTTGGGTGGCACCGAAGCAGCATAAACCGCACTTTTTTACAGGTCTCGCTCTTGCCACAGTGACAGCCCCCTCCCTCCAACAGCAACAGTGCTTGCTGGAGACAGGAAACAATGGATGCTTGGCAAAGGTATTGTACAGCAAGTGCAATACACAACAAAGTTTCCCAAAGTTGGGAAAATGTGTATTATGAAAAAGCTTTGAATGGAATTCAAGTTTGCTTTGCACTAAAATAAATACACCTTTTCATTCTATTTTTTCCAAGAGAGTTTTTCCAGTAATAAAACATACTTTTTTTTTTAATTGGAAAGTCAGATATTCAGAGAGGAGGAGAGGCAAAGAAGAAGATCTTTCATCTGCTGATGCACTTCCCAAGTGGTTGCAATGGCTAGAGCTGAGCTGATCCAAAGCCAAGAGCCAGGAGCTTCTTCTGGCCCTTCCATGCAGGTGCAGGGTTCCAAGACTTTGGGCTATCTTCAACTGCTTTCCCAGGCCACAAGCAGAGATGGATGGGAAGTGGGGACACGAATCGGCTCCCATATGGGATCCCAACTCATGCAAGGCGAGGACTTTGGCCACTAGGCTACTGCGCTGGGCCCAAAGCATACAGTTTTTTAATGATTATTTGATAAAGAGATCTACATGGGACTTAGGCTGTCAATCATGCTTCATATGAAGAAAAAACAGATTGAGCCATCATTGTGACATAGCAGTTTAAAGCCACCACTTTCAACACCAACATTCCAAGTGACTGGAGTCCCTGCTGCATCTACCCATCCAGCTCCCTGCTAATGTGACTGGCAAAGTAACAGAGGATGGCCCTAGGCCTTGGGCCCCTGTACCCATGAGGGAGGCCTGGATGGAGTCCCAGGTTCTTGACTTTGGCCTGGCCAAGTCCCAGCCATTACAAGACTCGGAGAATGAATCAGTAAATGGAAGCTCTCTTTGTTTCTCTCTGTAGCTCTGCCTTTCAAAGTGGATAAAACTTTATGTTAACAACAATAAAAAGTTCACAGGTAGGCTCAAGGTTACCCAGGCCCTGTCACACCCCCATCCCCAGGGCTCACAGATCCGGTACCTACCTGCCTCACAGGCTGGCCCAAAGGCCCAAGCCATGCGACCCAGACCCTGTCAGACCCCTCCACCCTTGGGGCTCATGGATCTGACACGCACCACCCCCAGACTGGCATGAATCATCTCACCTCAGAAAGCACCAGCAGGTGCTTCAGCTTGGTTTAGTTCCAGGTTCTTTCTGGTGGGTGCTGCAGCCTAGCCTTGTCCAGTCAGCCCCCAGTCCCACCCCGTGTGAACTGGCTGATGTTATGGCCCAACCCGGCCCCTTCATCACCCCATCCTGGTTCTCAGATATGCCAGTGGCTGTTATGAACTGGCCAGGCCTGCCCCCCACCCACCTGACCCACATGTGTGCTGGCAAATACTGGCCTGGTTTGGGCTGCTCCTTGCCTTGGTTCTTGGGCTTACCTACAGGGACTGCAGCCTGACAAAGGAGTTCCCCAAGCTCCTCTATCAGTTTTCCTACCAGTGGCAGATATTGGGCACACTGGTGGGTCCTTAGCCCAGGTTGACTTTGTCTGCCTCTTGTCCTAGCAGGAACTGTGTCCCTCCCCAATCAACTCATACCCTTTCTGGTTCTTACTGTTGGGTGTTCAGCCCAGCCACACCTGGCCCATTCCCAGACACAGCTCTCACATGGTTCAGCAGAAGCTGAGAACTAACCCAGCCTGCTCTACACCCACCCAGGCTCTCATGAGTACCAGTGGGTGCTGGAGTCCAGTCCAGTCTGGCACTCCACAGACCCAGTCTACACCCATGCCAAGGGAGTCTGCAGCCATGTCCAGCCCAGCCCAATGCCCCCATTCCGGCTCTTGCGCTCACCAGTAGGAATTCCAACCCAGCCAGGGTGTCCCCTTAGCTTCCCAACGAGGCCTTTTCTGAGCCACAGATGTTGCATGTGCCCGTGGAGATTGCTGTTCCATGTGAGTGAGCCCACATACTCCCCCCAGACATGATTCACTCATATGCGTGTTAGCTTCACGCATGTTGGCTGACACTCACTGGTGGACTCCATGTCTGTCCCTAAGAGTACAGTGACCTTGTCCACGGAAGTCCCTCAGAAGTCATTCTTTACCTGGACGCGCTGCTCGTCCCCATCTGTGCCATGCCTCAGATTCCCTGTAGCCCCACACCCCCAAGATGCCAGAGTGTACCGCTGGGTAGCCTTCGGTCTTTGCCTGATACCACTGACAGTTCTCCCGGCCACAGCCATGCAGCTGGGGGAGCAAAAATCCCAAGCCTCCAGTCCAGACCAGCTCAAGATCCACCCACGACATGGCCTGGGTCCATGGGTCTGCCTATACGGTGGGTGCTGGATCCATGAGCCCTAGGGGTAGGGGAATCTGGTGGGGACCAGGTTGCCTGAGCCAGGTATTTGGACCTGTCTGCATGGTGGGTGCTTGACCTGTGAGTTCCAGAAGCGAGGGGGTGGAGGGTCCTGCAAGACTCAGGTCATCTGTCTGGAACCTTAGGCCCACCTACAAGATGAGTGCTGGATCCATGAACCCCAGGGGCAGAGCATCTGGTAAACCCAGAGTGCCTGGCATGGGAACCATGTCACCTGGCCCAGGTCCTTGAACTCTCCTGCACCGTAGGTACTTGGCCCAGGAGCCCCAGGAGCAGGGGATCTGGTACTTCTCGGGTCATCTGGCTTGGATCTTCGGCTTGCCTGAGAGGCGAGTACTGGGTTCACGAACACCAGGGCTGTGGCTCTGGCGTGGCCTGAGTCAGCTGTTGCGGGATCTGTGGACCCACTTGTGAGAACTAGTTCTCCTCAGTGTAAAGAATGGAGTGCTGGAAGGCAGGCCATAGTGCACATGAAGAACGTGGTAGCCCATTGGGGCCTGCAGAGGACATCTAGTATAGCAGAGAATGGAGAACAGCACATATAGACAAGTACCCCAGCCAAATGATGACAGCAAATATCTGGACAATGGAGACCCTAAGGTCGACTGTGTCAGCCAATGGACATTGGAAGGGTTTCCTTATCCATAGATTGGTGAGATAAACAGCATTTCAGAAGTATCACCTCTACCTGGGCAGAACCCTCAGAGCATGTGCCTTATCGGGGACTCTGGGTTGATACTGGACAGCTGTTTCCTATCCCCAGGTACTGGGGTACTTGGGAGGCTGGGTGCAGCTTCTCTGTTTATCTCCTCTCTCCCCCCAGAAGTGGGAAGAAGAAATAGAAAGTTTGGAAACAATAATCACACCCACTTTTCCCTAATCCTGGATCCTTCACACCCTGATCAACTACATAAACATCATCTAAAATTTAAAAATAAAATAATTTTTAAATGAAAGAAGATTTAACTTGATATATATTAACAAGACATCTAGTGCTAAAGTCTATATTTTATTCAAGGTATATGACAATGTATTCAACCACAAATGTGTTT